TCCCAACAAAGAAAAACTCAAGGCCACATGGCTTTACTGTTGAATTCTGCCAAACATTTAAAGAAAAATTAATACCAGTCTTTCTCAAATATTTCCAAAAAATTGGAGAGAAGGGAATATTTCCAAACATTTCACAAGGCCAGCCTTATTCTGATACCAAAGATAAACAAGGACACTACAAGAAAACTACAGGCCAATATCCCTGATGAGGATAGATATAAAAATCCTCATCAGAATACTAGCAAACCAAATCAACAGTGCATTAAAAGGATCGTACACCATGATAAAGTAGGATTTATCTCTGGGATTCAAGGATGGTTCAACAAATGCAAATCATTAAATGTGATATTAACATAAAGAAGGATAAAAATCATATGATCATCTCAATAGATGGAGGAAAAGCATTTGACAAAGTTCAACATCCTTTCATGAAAAAAAAAAAAAAAAACTCTTACAAATTAGGTATAAGGTAATGTACCTAAACATAATAAAGGCCATATATGGCGAGCCACAGCTAACATCATATGCAACAGTCAAAAGCTGAAGCTTTTCCTCTAAAATCAGGAACAAGAGAAGGATGCCCACTCTTGCCACTCCTATTTAAAATAGTACTGGAAGTCCTACTCACAGCTGATAAGAAAAGAAAAAAGGAAATAAAAAGTATCCAATCAGAAAGGAAGAAGTAAAATTGTCACTGAAGATGACATGATCTTGTATATAGAAAACCCTAGAGAGTCCATCAAAAACTCTTAAACCTAGTAAACAAATTCAGTAAAGTTGTAGGATATAAAAACATACAAAAATCAGTTGCATTTCTATATAGCAACAATGAGCTATCTGAAAAAGACAAGAAGACAATCCTGTTTATAATAGCATCAAAAAGAATAACATACTTAGGAATAAGTTTAACCAAGAAAGTGAAAGATCTGTACACTGAAAACTATAAAACATTGTTGAAAGAAATAAAAAAAGACACAAGCAATGGGAACTTGTCCCATTTTCATGGGTTGGAAGTATCAATATTGTTAAAATATCCATACTACCCAAAATAGTCTACAGATTTGGTGTAATTCCTACCAAAATTCTAATGACCTTTTTCACAGAAATAGGAAAAACAATAATAAAATTTATATGAAACCATAAAGAAATCCAAATAGCTAAAGTAATCTTGGGCAGGAAAAACAAAGCTGGAGACATCATAGTTCTTGATTTCAAATTATATTAGAAGTTACACTAATCAGAACAGCGTGGTACTGGCATAAAACAGACACATAGATTAATGGAACAGAATCAAGGCCCCCAGAAATAAACCCACTCATATACAGTCAACCAATCTTCAACAAAGGTGCCGAGAATATACAATGGGGAAAGGATAGTCTCTTCAATTAATTGTGTTGGGAAAACTGAATACATACCTGCAAAAGAATGAAATTGGACCCTCCACCATCAGAAAAATGAACTCAGAATGGATTAAAAACTTTAACGTGAGACCTGAAAGTATAAAACTCCTAGAGGAAAACATGGGGGAAAACCCCTTGGCATTGATCTTGCAAATGATATTTTTTCTTTTTTCTTTTTGGATTTGACACCAAAAGTACAGGCAACAAAAGCAAAAATAAACAAGTGGGACCACATCAAACTAAAAAGTTTCTGCACAGCAAAGGAGACAATTAACAAAATGAAAAGGTAACTTAACAGAATGGGAGAAAATATTTGCAAATCATATATCTGATAAGGGGTTAATATCCAAAATATGTAAGGAATTCAAACAACTCAGCAGCAAAAAACCAAATAACCTGATTTAAAAAATGGTCAAAGGACCTGAATCAACATTTTCCAAAAGACATACAAATGGTCAATAGGTTCATGAAGAGATCCTCAACATCACTAATCATCGAAATGCAAATCAAAACCACAATGAGAGATGTTGCACCTGTTAGGATGCCTACTATAAAAGAGTCCAAAGATAACAAGTGTTGGTGAGCATGGAGAAAAAGGAACACTTATACATTGTTGGCAAGAAATTTATACAGCCATTATGGAAAACTGTATGGAGGCTCCTAAAAAATTAAAAATAGAACTACCATATAATCCAGCAATCTTACTTCTGGGTATATATCCAGAGGGAAGGAAATTACTATCTTGAAAAGATATCTGCACTCCCATGATCATTGCAGCATTATTCAAGTAGTCAGCATATGGAGACAATCTACATATCTGTCAATGGATGAACGGATAAGGAAGATGTGGAGTATTCAGTCTTAAAAAAAAAAAGGACACCCAGGAGCACCTGGCTGGCTCAGTTGGTGGAGCGTGCAACTCTTGATCTCAGGGTTCTGGGTTTGAGCTCCACGTTGAGTGTAGAGATTACTTAAAATAAATAAAATCTTTAAAAATTACATTACATTTTTTTTAAAGATTTATTTATTAGAGAGAGAGGGACAGAGCACAAGGAGGGGGGAGTGGCAGGCAGAGGGAGAAGCAGGCTCCCCGTGGAGCAGGGAGCCTGATGTGGGATTCAATCCCAGGACCCTGGGATCATGACCTGAGCCGAAGGCAGATGTTTAACCAACTGAGCCACCCAGGTGTCCCTAAAATTTTTTTTAAAAAGGACATTCTGCCATTTGTGACAACATGGATGATTGTGGAGGACATTATACTAAATGAAATAAACCAGCTGCAGGAAGACAGACAGATACTTACATGTGGAATCTAAGTAAGTCAGACTCAGAGAAACAGGGAGTCCAATAGTTACCTGGGGCTGAGGGGTGGGAGATGTGGGGAGACATTGGTCAGAGTATACCAACTTTCAGTTGTAAGGTGAACATGTTCTGGAGACCTAATGTGCAGTATGATGACTATAAAAGGAAAGAAAGGACAGAAGAAAGGAAGCAAAGAAGGAAGAAAGAAAAAAGGGAAAGAAAAGAGAGAAGGAAGGAAGACACATTTGTGAGGGAGAGAGTAGAACAGGGTAAGGAAGGCAAACATACTGAAGAATTAAGAAATCTCAGGTTAATTCTAGCCTTGGCTTGATGCACAGAGGGAGCATAAACCACAACTCAGGGGCAATGTAGCTTTTTGTGCCTGTAGATCAGTCAGTTATTGGCTGAGGGCTGCCCCCAGGTTGGGCAGCTCCCATCAGCCAGGACCATTCTCTGGAGAAGAGGACAGCCGTGTGCCTTAGCAGTCAATACTCCACAGTATCCAGGGGATGCGTGTACTGCCCAGAAAAGAACATCTGAACGGGGCACCATAGCCTCCATCGCACCACTGAGGCCAGGAAGATTGCTGTGCTAATTGGTTTAAGCCAGGTAGGGTTCACTTTTGGAGCTATGGATGGGGTCCAGGCCACCCACCCAACATTGCTGAAAAGCTCATGATAGTGTAAGCATGGGAAATGGGGAGAACGGATGGTGATCAGGTACCCAAGAAATGTTCATATACTTCCTACTCTTAATTAGTTGTTGTCATATAACCCTGTTTATTTCCTTCAGAGCACTTTCCATAGACTATAATTCTCTAATTGATTGATTGATTGATTGTTTGCCTGTCTGACTCTTAGAATGTAAATTCCATGAGGCTAGGAACCACTGTTGTAGCCTATGAATCTATTGGCATGCCTGGTACTAAATATGTTGACTGCCTTCCAGATAGGACTCTAAATGTGCAAAGACACAGAGATAAGAAGGAAAAAAAGTCTGTAGATAAGGAAGATAATTCTAGACCATTCATTCTCCAACTGTTAGTCCCCAGACCAGCAGCATCAACATCACCCAGAAACTAGTTAGAAATGAAAATTCTCAGGCCCCACTTCAGACCTAATGAATAAAAAACTCTAGGGATGGAACTCAGAAATCTGTGTTTAATAAAAGTCTGCCAGGTGATTTTGATGCACAGCTGAGTTTGGGGACTACCGTTCTAGAAACATGGAACTTATACAGGATAGGTCATGGTAAATAAAGTGGTAAGAAAAATTTAGGATCCTATTATTGTGAATATTAATGTAGTATATACCCTGTGTGTTGTTTGTTTTTACTTTTCTGAAATATCTTTTGTTGGAAGAGTCATGAATTCTTTGAATTCTAGACACCCTTGTTGGTATTTGGGAGGAAGGAGTGGGTTGAGTTAATGGTGTTTTGATTTTTCAGGCCAGGAGGGAATGTAATACTCCTGATTAGTCATCCTGACCCTCATCCTCATCCAGACCCTTACCCTCATCCACAACCAGCTCCTTGCCCTATGCACACAGTTTCCTTTTCTTTGTTCTTTTTTTTTAAAAAATAAATTTAATTTTTTAGCATGGTTTTAGACTTACAGAAAAATTACAGAGATAGTACAGAGAATTCCCATATACTGCCCCACCTAGTTTCCCCTATTATTAACATCTTATATTCATTCGTGTGGCACATTTATTATAATTAATAAGCCAATATTGATCCAGTATTACTAACTAAAGACCATATTTGATCCAGATTTCATTAGTGTCTATATAATGTCCTTTTCTGTCTGTGCCAGGATCTATCCAGGATACCCCATTATATTTAATCATCACTACTACTTAGACTCCTTTTGGCTAGTACAGTTTCTCAACCTTTTCTTGTTTTTGATGACCTTGACAGGTGGGTTTTTTTTTTTTCTTAAATTTATTTATTTTAGAGAGAGTGGGTGTGGGAGGGGGTGCAGAGGGAGAGGGGGAGAGAGAGAGAGTCTCAAGCAGGCTCTGTGCTGAGTGTGGAAACTGCCTCAGGGCTCTGTCTCACCACCCTGAGATCACAGCCTGGGCCAAAACCAAGTGTCAGATGCTTAACTGATGGCGCCACCCAGGCACACTGACCTTGACAGTTTTGAGGAGTACTGTTTGGGTGTTTTGTAGAATCTCTCTCAACTTGGGAATGTCTGATGTTTTTCCTAACATTTAGATGGGATTTGGTTTTGGGGAGGAAGATCACAGAGGTAAATTATGCCATTTTCATCACCTCATATCAAGGGTACATACTTACCAACATGATATATCACTGTCCATGTTGACCTTGATCTGGAGCCTCCAGGTAGCTGTAGAAAGAGGATGGATTTATGAAATGTTACACAGACAAGGTTTTCAGGACTTGACATTTACTTAGATTTTGGGAGGATGGTTAGAGTAAGGAAAAGGAGAGGAGGAGCCAAAACCTTTGCCTTGGGTGCCTCTCTAATACGGGTGACTGGGCTCATGGCTAGTGTATTTAGCAGAGGTGCTGGTGATCTGTCCAGGTAAAGGATTTAGTCTATAGTCAGTTTTCTCCCTTGGGAGCTGGGGGAGGGTTGGGGCAAAGAGGGTTCCATGGCCGAGGCTCTCACTGCCCCGGAACACAGGGGTAGAGAGTGTGATTGGTGCATAGGCCCTGCTGGCTGTGTCTGCCAGTCAGATCAGCTAGGACAGTCCTTCCCAGAATGACTTGTAGAGTCACTTGGAGGTGACGTCAGGGACTTTTTAGGGCCTTGGGCTCTGATTTTGGGGGTACAGTGGGAGGAGTCCGGGGATATTCCTCAGTATTCTCTCAGCTGCTTATTTGAAAAAGCAATGGATGCCCGAAGTCAATGAGGAGAGGGATTGCTGAAATTTTCCCAGAGAAAGACTGGCCATCTATTTCATAAGATGCATTTAACTATAGAAAGAATCAAAGGACATACATTAAAATATTAATATTGTTTATCTCTGCGGGTGGTGGGTTTTGGGGTTGTGTCAGTTTCCAAGGGCTGCCGTAACAGAGTACCACAAACTGGGTGGCTTAGAACAACAGAAATTTATTGTCTCATAGTTCTGGAGGCCCAAAGTCTGAAATCAAGGTCAGCAGAACTGTGTTCTCCTTTACGGCTCTTGATTTTTCCTTGTCTCTTCCTAGCTTCTGCCGGTGGCCAGCCATCCTTGTTGTTCCTTGGTTTGCGTGCAGTCCCTCAGTCTCTATCTGTCATCACATGGCCTTCTCCCTGTGTGTTGTGTCCAAATCCCTTATTCTTACAAGAACACAGTCATATTATGTTTAATATGACTTCTTCTTTTTTTTAAAAAAAGATTTACTTATTTATATTTTTGGGGGTGGGGCGGTGGGGATGGGCAGAGGGAGAGGGAGAGACTGAATTCCAAACAGACTTTGCCCTGAGCATGGAGCCTGATGCAGGGCTTGATCCCATGATCCTGACATCATGACCTGAGCTGAAACCAAGAGTCTGATGTTTAACCAACTGAGCCACTCAGGCGCCCCTAGGATGACTTCTTAATTACATCTGCAATGACCCTATTTCCATTCACAGGTCACTTTCACAGGTTCTAGAGAGACATGAATTTGAGCAGGGGAACACTCTTCCACCCAGTACAGGGGTGGTTGATATTTCCTTCTTCATATATTTCTATTGCTTTTAGGTTTCTTTTTGCAACCGACGTGTGTTACTTCTGTACCAGCAAAAAAACAACACAAAACAACAACAAAAAACCCATAACAACAACAACACAACCACACCAAAAAGCAAAAAAACAAAACAAGCAAACAAAAACTAAAAATGCTATCCCCACCACCAATACTCTGAGAAATAATACAAACTGCATTCGGTGAAGGGGCCAGTGCTGTCCCGAAACGTAGAAGAAGGGTTACTCATGCTAGTGATGATGCTCTGTGCCAAGAGGCTTCCTACATACCCAGCCCAACCCTGGGAACAAGACAGGGACGGGTGTGGGGCTGGGATGACTGGGGAAATGCCTGGGCATCTCTGCTCAGGCCAGGGCGGAGGGCGGAGGCTTTTCTGCCTTGCTGTGGGCTGGGCTGCTGGCTTCCTAGATACGGGGCTTACCCCAGAGAGATCATTTAGACTTCCTGCGGCAGCACCCCGTTCCTGCACAAACACAGGAGGGCAGCTTGGCAAAGCATGAATGTGATAACTAAAGCCACATTCACCCTGGCTGGGTAAATATTGCCTGAGAATCACTCGTTGTTTTCCCCAACTTTCTTAGGTACTGGAGCCCTGTGGGGAGGTGACTTTTCTCATGACAGCCACACCCCAGGTCTCCTTTATTAGTCACAGCACATGCTTAACTCTGCTTGGTTCTGCTCCCCTGACGTTCTGCACGTCCCACCATCCCGCGGTACGTGTTTACCCCTCCCTGGGGGCTGGTTGGACTGAACAACATTTTGTGCAACCCGTTCTAAAGGAGCAGCTGGGAATCAGGTTTAAATCATGGAGTTTCAGCACGAGGGAATTAAAAATGCCTTAGACGCTTTTGTTTATGGGTGCCAGGGAGAGAAAGCAACCAAGGAAGAAAGAAGGAATTCTTCGTGTGTTTCATTTAATCACAAGTTCCGTCTGCTTCCTTCAGAAGGCACTGGTGTCCAAGTGATTTTTTTAAATGTACGAGCATCCTGTTTGGTGATGGGGGCTTTGAGTGGATAATGCTGGCTATTAAGAAACGAAAACAATGGGTTCTTTAAGGGGGGGGGGGTAATGGGCTTTCTCGAAACAACTGTTTCTAGGCCTAAAACTCTCTTAGAATGTCAATATCAAGTTCAGTCCCACGTGACTGAGGCAAAAGGCTTTCATCCTTTTTCTCCAGTCATTTAACCCTTTACTAGGGTAAAGGACAGCCATAGAATAAGAAAAATCTCTTTAAAACAGTCTCTGTTATCAAAAGACTTCTCTTTCTGATCCACACCTAGTCACAACTGACTGAGGGTTCCCAGTCTGTACCCCCAGCCCCGTTATTATCCCCATTTCACAAAGGAGAAAACAGGCTCAGAGAAGTTGAGTAACTTGCCCCAAATCATAGTCTAGATTTGAGTTCTGCAAAGCCGGAATCTTGACCATTACACTGAGCTGCTTCCAGAGAGGGCACTACCCATAAAAGTGTCCTCAGCAGGGGCTGAGAAGAAGAGCAGGCATCCACAGATGGGAGTTGGATATGCTTTCCATTTCCACATTTACTATTCACCTGCTGTGTGACATTCAGTAGCTCACTGCGTTTTCAGTATTGTAGGTGGCGTATTCGTGGAGCACGGCGCCCTCTCTCAGGGGTTCTGCCAGCACCAGCTGTCCCCCCTGCAGGCACTAGAATGCCATCTTTTAGGGAGCCTAAGGATTGAAGGAGGAACCTATACAGGGTAGGCACCCGCAATACCATGCTCAGGGAAGCCTCGGCCCAGTCCGTGGGCCAGCCTTGGCATTCCAGAGGCACCCATTCCCGCCCCAGGGTACAGTCAGAACAGAGGGGTCTTGCAAAGCCAGATCTTTCCTCTTTTGTGACCAGAGGTTCTGGGCATGCAAGGCTAGCTTCATCCAAGACAGGCTCTCCAGGCCCACGCCTTTCATAACTCTGATAGCACTTGTACTGCAAGGTTGTGTTTATTTTTTAATTTGAATATACAGAAAAGTACAAGTGAAAAAGGAATGATCACTCATGTTCTTGCAACCCAGAATTAGCCAGTGTTGATATATTTGCTTCTGATTTTATTTGGTATATCGTTACCTTAAAAAAACCCCACAAAACTTCATGATATATATGTACACCATTCTTTGAAACAATTTGTATAATATGGAATAAGCTAAATCCCTAATGACCCGCATAGCAAATCCTAATTCCTCTTCCTCCATCCAGAGAGACCTTTAAGTTTGGTGTGTATTCTTCCAGCATTAAAAAAAAAGACATAATAAATATAAAATACATGGATTTTTGTGTGTGCATGCTTTATATAAATGGCATCATGCTGTGTGCATCATTTTGCAACTTAACTGTTTTTCAGTCAATGTATTTTTGAGATTTATCCATTTTGATATAGATGTAAGTTATTCCTTTTAGTGGTGCTAATATCACTCTATTGTATGAATGTACATTTTATTTATAAATAAATGCATTTCAATTTCCATTTTTTGCTATTATGAGCAATATTAAAATAGATATACTCAGGACTACCACATCGTACAGCATTCACATCTATGTGTATGTGCCTTCTGGAGTTAAGCAGTGAATAATCTGCCTTGCTGTACTGGGCCCTGCCTGTGTCTCCTTCATTCATTTTTTTAACAGTATTTATTGAGTGCCTCGGGACCGCAGGGCATTGTCCAAGTGCTTTGCTTGTATTAATGTATTTAGTTCTTTGAAAAGTCCTAAAAAAATATTGTTTTCCATTCTCATTTTTCAAACAAGGAAAATGAAGGCGGTTGAGGGCAATCTGTTGGCTCAGGAAGCTGCAGAGCTGGCTGGGGAACTTGGACGGCCTGGCCCCTGAGTCCGGGTGTTTGAACCATTGCACTAATTCTCCCTTGTGTTTCACTTTACTTGGTTGATGTCCCCTCTCAACTGTAAACTCTTGGGAGTAGGGACCCTGGGGAGCCACTGATTTTACATTCCAGTGCCCAGGCATGCCTCACCTCCATTAGGGGCTCACTAATAATCTGTGAATCACTTTACTCTTTGTTCAATGCTCCTTTCCTAATTCACATTTCCTCTTCCCCATCTATCTCTTTCCCTTCATGAGCATTCTTCTTCGGCCCCCTCCCCATAACATGGCTACCCCTGGCTCGGGCTTTCAAAGAGCGACAAAGGCACATCACAGATAACATAAAAAGGAAAGCTTTATAGCGCGCCCTAATTTGGGAAAGAGCATTTTACCAAAGGGCAAAGGAGGACTTGAATTTTTTCTGCCCTCGGGAGGCCCAGTCTTGCAACCCTGTAGGTCTAGGGCTGAACGGGAGGCACTGCTGTGTTCACACGTTTAGTCAAGAGTACTTCTAATTCTGTCCTTCAGCCGTCAGGCACGTAGGCAATTTCCTCTTATAAAGTTGGTGGTTGTAACTAAACAGGTGCAGATTTGAGGAAATGCAGGCCGCCTCCACTAAGTCCCCGCTGCCTGTGAGATTAGGTTGATAAGGGACTTCCCCCTTAATTTCGTCACCCCCACCCCTCCACCCCCTCCACCCCCAGTCTGCCCGGGGCACGACCCCCCCGCAACTGGGCCCCACAGCCCCAGCGGGGGAACTGCCCAGTCGCGCCAAACGTGAGCAGGAGAGTGTGCGGCTCAAAGGAAAGCACACGGGGACGCGAAGGTCGAGTTCCCGCTGGCGCAGGACCACCGTCCCTGGCCCCGCCCGTCCTTCCCTTCCCCGCCCCCCCCGCCCCTCCTTCCGAGCGGGCCAGCGACGGGGGTGGGGAAGGTTTGCAGGGAAGGCGAGCCCCACCACCGCGTGGCTGTCCCGACTGCTACCGCCCGCCCCTCGCGCCGCCTCGGCCGCCCACGCGGACAGCCGCTCGGCCGCTCGGCCTGCAGAGCGGGGCGGCGGGACGTGCCGGCGGCCGGCGCGGCTCTAGAGAACCCTGCCCGGGCTCAGGGGTGCGGCCGAGCGCGCTGACTCACGCTCTCGCTACGTGAGCTGCGAGCCGAGCCGGGCCGGGCGTGGGGGCCAAGCCCGCGCCGCCGCCGCCGCCGCCGGCCGCGCGCGCTGGTGGGGTGGTTCGCGCCCCGCTGCGCGCGCCCGCCGAGGACTTCACCCCCAGGCTGGCGATCTTTACGGCTTTTACGGCTGCGGCGGGGCTGTGATCTTGGATCCGCAGCGCCGGCGCCCGGGAATTTCTGCCAGGCACGGGCGGCACAATCACGTCAGGTCCGCGCGGGCGCCGGGCTTAGCCTCTCCCGGCTCCTGGGGGAGTCCACTGAGGCCCGAGGCCCGGCCTCGGGGGCTGCACCTCACAGCATCTTACCTACGCGAAGAGGCATCTGTAGGCTCGCACCCTCCTTGTTTCAGTCGATCCCTAAACAGCCCTGTGACACGGAAAGGATAGGAAGGGCAGGCGCTGTTCAATCCATTGGACAGCCGAGGAAATCAAAGCTTGTGTTTAGGTATTGTATCTGTTGGCAACAAAACAATTTGCTGTAACTTATATGTAGAGGCACCGAGCTCTTGGATAAATAAATTTGAGTGCCGGCATAGCCTGTTTTACCAACATCTTCCATTCTCCTGTGTTCCCTGGGAAGACAAGTGAAAGAGGAACAAGAGTCCCGGGCGTGCGTGCGTGTGTGTGTGTGTGTGCACGCGCGCGCGGGGGGTGGGGGTGGGGGTAGCTGGGGGAGGGAGAGTTTATATTAATATATGTGAAATCGGCCCACTGCACAGCTGTTACCTTTTGGTAGGCTTCAAAGGGACACAGCTGAGCTTCCAGTAAGACCAGTGTTCGCTGAATAACTGGCCAGTCCTCTTCAAATACAGCGAGGGTGTCCTTGGATGTCTGCCATGGCTGAGGGTCCTGTTGGTGCGGGGGTGCAAGGGTCGCCCCTGTAACGCCAGGCCTGCGTCGGAATCCTGAGCCTTCGGTCATTACCAGTGACTCTGAGCAGTGTGACTGACATCACTCAGCTTCTTCTCACTTTGGGTTGCCATGAGGTTCAAGATGAGAATGTATTTGGAGTTTCCTTAACTACCGTGTCCCGTAGAAAGGAGAAGCAGGGTTTCTTTTCCTTGGTCCTACAATATCAGTGGTGGGAAGTGGGAGATGTTGTCCACTTCAGAAAAATCCGTGTCACTCTTGTTTGCTCATCTTGGGTAAACCACGGAGAACACAGTTTCTATAGAGTCAGTAGGAACAAAGATGAGTTAATTCTCATGGAAATTCCGCCTTTAGACACAGGGCACAAGGTTATGGGATCTTGACTGTAAACACAGAGCTAAGCCACTTGTAGAGAACTCTTCAGTTTGCCTACTTTGTTTTTGTTTTGATTTTTTTTAGAGGGGGCAGAGGGTTTGCCAAACTCCAGATTTTAAAATTAATACATGATTTTGTAAAAACAAACTAAAATATAAAGAAAAAAAAAACCCTTTATAACCCAACATATATATACCAATAATGTTAGCATTTCAGGTATATTTCTTCTAGGTACTTTAAAAATTCTTTTTAATATAACCGAGACCACAATCTATGTTATTTTATATTATTTACCTTGCTTAATGTTATATCATACACATTCTCCCATGTCATTAAACCATTATAGTCACCTTCAGAATATATTATATTTTTTCAACATTGTTGGAAGTTTAGGTTGTTTCCATTTTTTGACTAAGCAATACTCCGATGGATATCTTTGTGTATAAATATTTGACCATTTTATTTATTATCCCCTTAGCATGGGTTTCCTGAAGTGGAATTTTTAGGTCAAATAACATAAACATTTTCATGATGAGATATTGCCAATTGGCAATTTCCCTGCGTGCGGGGACTAGCTCTGCTTTCTTGACTACTGTATTCCCAGTGCCCAGCATGGAGTTGGTTAATGTGCAGTTGAAGGAAGGGCTACAGGGACAAATTTTCGTTTACAACAAAACTTGCCTGGGAAATATTAAAACCAAAAATTATGTTTCATCCCAATTGGTTCTAACCAGGTGAAGCTAATAAAGGACCTTGAACCTTAAGGAACACCGCCCCCCCACCCCCCTTTTCAGGAACTGACTGAAGACTCTTCTGACCAATGAGTAATGGGACTTGTTTAAACCTACTACCTATCCAGAGTGCTAGTTTTCAGCACTTGATTGGAATAACCATCAGGCACTCCTCCCTCCTAGCACTTAAAACAAAACAAAAGAAAACAAAACAACCCCAACTTTTCCCCCTTTAGGGTCTTGCTCTGCAAATGTCTCCAGTGGTGTATCTCCCTTGGCTGGTAAATTAGTAGACTCCGGTGTGATTTAGGGAAAAAAAAAAATACCCCAGGTGCTCTTGGTCTTTATTCTTTGACAAATGAGTATTGTCCAATTGAAATACATGGAATTTGTAGCAATCTACAATTTTTCTACCAGTTTCTAAGTGTGTTTCATTGTTCCTTTGTTAATATTACATATTATAATTTCATAACCTCTGCTATTTAGTGGGTTAAGATATGAAAATGTTTTTTGCCTATTAAATGAGCTAGACTGAACCTTTTTTTTTTTTAAAGGTTTATTTATTTGAGTAGGGGGTGAGGGAGAGAGGTGGGGGGGTGGAAGGAGGGCAGAGGGAGAGGGAGAGAAAGTCTCCCGCAGACTCTGCACTGGGCCCGGAGCCCGGCATAGGGCTTGATTTCAGGACCCTGAGATCATGACCTGAGCCGAAAATAAGAGTCAGATGCTTAACTGACTGAGCCACCCAGGCACCCCTAGACTGAATCTTTTAATACAAGTGTTGTGATTCTCTATTTATATTTTTATTTACTGAGATCTTGGTGATTTGTTTGTATGACCCTTTTATATACTAAGGATATTGCAGAGTAATTTCTTCATAATATTTTTAAAGTGAAGCAATGCCAGGAAGATCCTGATGCAACACATTATTTTGATGTGTTAAATTTTTGAAGTAATTGCATGTTTAAATTACTTATTGCTGGAGGTGTTCTTAGGTGGAATGGGTGGTTTCTAGCCACTGGAATGATCTAAGTAGAGGCTGTTTGATCCCTTAGGGAGGAACTGAAACATCTAAATGACAGGTTGGACTAGTGATCTTTAAGTTCTCTTAAAACCTAGAGATTTTATGATCTTATCATTTGTCCAAGGATATAAAGCTAATAAGTTTTAGAGTCTAGTTTTCTTCCAATACTCTGTAAAATCAACCGGATCCTGTAAGAATCAAAGGATGATTTCCTGAGTCTATTGCCTTTATGTACATTTTTTCAGAAAAGTCCAGTTGAAGAGTGTGAATGTGCTTTGTGTTGAGCTGTATCCTGGCTCTTTAGGACTTTATTTACCAGAAATAAACATGCATTTTTGGGGCACTTAGCTGGCTCAGTTGGTGGAGCATGTGACTCTTGACCGTGGGATTGTAAGTTCCAGACCCACGCTGGGTGTAGTGATTACTTAAAAATAAAAACTTTTTTTTTTTTTTAAGACTTTATTTATTTATTTGAGAAGGAGGGAGAGAGAGAGAGAGAGCACAAGAGCAGGGGGAGGGAGAAGCAGACTCCACACTGAGCAGGGCGCCTGACTCAGGGCTCCATCCCAGGACCTTGGGATTATGACCTGAGCCGAAGGCAGACTCTTAACCAACTGAGCCACCCAGGTGCCCCCCAAAATAGAAATCTTAAAAAAAAAATAAACATACATTTTTACCAAAAGTTTTTACATGAAGAACATTGATTTTGCAATCTAATTCATATTTTTGGTTTCTTCTATGTAATAAAATTTTATAAACTTATATTTTACATATTTATTTCTTATTAAATAATCTTTATTATTGTAGATTTTTACACATGTGTAACTGCATGGTTGTATGTAAAAACCATGTGTACTGTATTTTATTAATAATACGGTTTTTTTTTTTTTTTTAAAGGTGATTGCTTACATAGTTTTCAGTTATGTGCCAACTTTGGAACTACTTCAGCATAAAGGTTAGCTCCACTGTGATGTCTATGCAGATCTCTATTGCAGATGTCCGTGACTGAGGAGTCTTGACACAACATAAATGACATGGATTTTATGTATGCATTCATTATATGATATGAGAGCTGTATGTGTTCTGACAGCCCTTGTGTTCCTCTTATTGGTGTGCTCATTACTGTGCGAACTACATCCTCACCGGTCTCCCCTATAGGCTACACGTTTTGGGGGGGAGGGAGCAAGTGGGACTTGATCCTTTTGTATCCCTAGCACTCAGTTTAGCGCTTGGCATTCTACAAAATTTTTGTTGAACTGAATTAAATATAATAAGTCACATGGAAAGACCAGACATGAAACTGTGCAAGAGGTTATGGACTGAGTTTGTGCTGAGAAAGCTGACTGAGGGTGCTAGGGCCGACACTGGGGTAACAGTTAGAGGAAGCTAAATGATTTGAGTGCCTCCCAGGAGCTGGCACGAACCTGGCATCTCACAGGCTTTCCCTTATTTAATCCTCACAACTTTACTGTTTAAGAGTTTTTTGGGTTTTATGTTGTTTTTACAGAGAAGGTTTAGAAAGGTTCAGTTAACTTTGTCAATCGTAAATGGTAGAATTGGTATTTTCTCCAAGCTTAGACTGGCTTGGAAATGCAGGCTCTTTTCTCGTGACCAGGATGCCTGCAGTAAGCAGCCCAGTCTTGACTGGGGCAGAGCTGGGGAGGGAAGGTGTGTTGGTTTAGAAAAGAACTCGGTTCCATTAACCTAGATGAATTTTGTCATTGTATCTCTCCTCTCTCCACCCTTTGCATTTCTGCATGCCCTCTGCTTCAGCTTTTCTCACTCTCTCAAGACCCAGGGCCCTCTTGGTGCCCCCTCCTTATAGTGCCCCCCTGGACTTTCTCCCACACAAGCCGCATACTCTCTCCTTCCCATCCAGCTATAATCCTTATTCTTCTTCTTCCATTTAATCTGATAAACTCTTCTAGAAAAAGAATAGAATAATTGTTATAATGTTTCCCCTCCTGCCCATGTGTTTTGTTAAATACAGATGTTAGTTGTAGGGATTCTAAAGTTGGGAGGGAGGCTTGGGTAGAAGGATATTTTGTCTCTTCAAATAAAACCATAGACTGCAGCCACTTACTCTCTGAGTAGGGCACAAAGGGCCCTTAGATCTCCAGGACAACCAACATCTCATTTGTTCAATACCTCCATGTGAAGAAGGCCTACTGTGTATCACTGTTCTAGGTGCTTAATGTAAATTAACTCTTTTATCCTCCTAACATCCCAATGCGGTAGGTGAGAATGTCGCCCCTACAATTGGGACCAGAACCCTGTAGGTTTGGCTCTGGAGCACTAGGACACTCAGCTCAGTTGGAGGCAGTGGGGAGGCAAGGGGAGAAGGCCAGGGAGAGGGAAGGTGGGAAAGAGGGTAACAGAAAAAGAGAAGCTCTTAACAGTGGCTTAGGACTTTGATTGAACATGAAACAAAAAATAAGGTGAGCCAGTGAACTGTTTTTGGAATCCATTAAAGAGGTAGTTTAGAGCAATGAGAATGGGGGAGAAATTAGCATCGGTGCCAAGGGGGCAGCCACAGATTGTTGGGGCCCCAAGGAGTGGGAGCACCACTGGGCACAGATCTGCCACTCTGTAGTTTATGACAGATAGCTTACTATTGG